GGAGTTGTTTATTATTATTATTATTAAAAGAAATAATACTGGCTTCAAATAAGGAAAAACCAGTAATTTGAAAACAGAGGACCTGGCTTTAAGTGCTCTGTACAGTCCACGTAAACCTGAAAAATCACAACCTTGTAGACTTGGTGTCTTGGATGATTAAAAAAAAAAGAGAAACACTACTTTCTTCACAAGATTACACATACCAAATTATATAGTAGCTGGAAGCCCTTGTACAAACTGTATCAAGATTAAAAGGCGAGCTTATAGACTGGCAAACGGCCTACTGTCCTCCAGAGCTGACTGCAGCTGGCGAAAAGGAAATGGCTGCGTCAACAAACTACCCCAGTTCACTTAACCAGAAGTTAACCCGAAAACTCACCTAAATACCAATGCCCTAACAGGAGGCAGCAAACTGTTCTATGAAGGACTAAACCTCAACTCCACTGACACTTACTCATATGGAAGACAACATACAGAACAATCAAAAGCACCTGTGTTTCAGAAGTGGGCGCAGGTCCCAGCCTTTCCCCCTGGCCACCTTCATCCTCGGGGTCTCTCCTTTGCTGCCCCTGCAGCTCCAGCAGGGCCCTGTTCACTGCACACACGGCTGCTTCTCGGCAAAGTGCCATCAGATCAGCACCAACAAAACCTGGCGTCAGGTGTGCTAAGTGACAAAAATTAAATGTTTCAGGAAGTCTGAGTTTTCGGCACAAAGTCTGAAGTATTCTGCAGAAAGGACAAAGAAAACATTTCAAATTCCTGGCCCAACGGTAGAAGTAAGTCACCAAATATATTTATTTGGAGTTCTTTATGTGTACTAAACTGTCGACTGCACCCTAACAAGAAGTACCAGGTCAAATTGTACATTAACCACTCAACAGCTGCTAAATTACATTTCTGTATTACCTGTCTGACCTCATCCCAGACAGGATAACGGCACAGAACCTGTGCTAGGAACTATGCTGTCCTGTGAGCAACACAACAGCAAATTTTTTAAAAATTTAAGTTTTACTATTATTACAGAGAAGATAAATAACTAACCTGGGGGAGCACTGTTAAAGTAGATTAAAGGCTGGGGAGATGGCTCAGTGGCACAAGTGCCTGCCTGGCAAGTGCAAGGTCCTGAGTTCCATTCCCAGTACCGCCCCCCAAATGTACAAAGTAAATTAAATGGACATCTCCCCATAATGAAAACTTCCATCCACACTCAAATGATTAATTCTACTCATAGCCAAATGCTACCGTGCACACTTTAACATCCAATTTTACATCAGGATAGTCAGTTCTCCAACTTTATCTTCACCTGTTCATCCCTGTACGGCATGTATGAAAAATTCTGTTCAATCCAACAGCAACTTGGTGTGTCAATGAAACCTAGACTTCTAAATAATTATTAAAAGAATACCTTGAACAATCTCTAAGAGGCATTAAATGAGAACTTGAATTGAAGATAGAATATTTGAAGCCAGGCTGCATGGGTTTGAATACCAGCTCTATTTCTCTATGTAACCTGAGCCAGTAATTTTGCCTGAGCCTCAGTTTATCCACTTGTGAAACATGGTGTGCAGCAGGACTTACCTAGGGCTGTGGCTGTAAATGTGCACGCACAAAGCGCTTAGAACACTGGATGATCCACACTACGTGTACAGTGTTTATGTACACACTGTGATGTTATAAACCAAGGAAATAAGTCAATGCATTTTGAGATTCCCAAATTGGAGGGGAGAATAATATTTTCAAATGTCAAGCTAACAAATACAAAAAAATTATCTGGGGTCAAGGACGTAAACACAATAGAAGCAGATAAATATGACTGACAGAAGAAAAATAATTCACCGACCTTAATAAGAACCAAGGAAAGGTTTTACTATAGACCTATTTCCAAACAACAGATCTCAATGTCCTTCTATCCAGGAACACTGAAAAATTTTTCTAGGAATATGGCTAACAGAAAATAAACAGCATTCTCTTCCTAGCTATAGTCTAAAAAGAACAAGAAAAAGAAGCACAAACTCCATGGTCAAAGAAACAAGCAGACTATTCTTACTCCTCACCTGCCTCCCCGAGCCTCCTCTGGAAGCACAGCCAGGAATTCGCAGCAAGAGGACTGACAGGTACGTGTGTACGTATCTTCTGCTGTGGTTTAGGTCTAAAATGTCCCTCAAAGGCCAGGTGGTGAGGACTGAGAGGCGATCAGATCAGGAGCGGCTAAGCACTGCTGAGTCCACAGCTGAAGGGCTCCCAGGAGCTGGGGTATGGCTGGGGAAGTGGGTCTTACGAGCGTCCCCCTGGGGAGACACCTGTCCCCAGCACTTTCCTTGGCTCTTTCCCTTTCTCTGTGCTTCCAGCTGCCACAGCTGGGTAGTTTTCTGTTACCGTTTGTATCTAACATGTCCCCAGGCCTCACCTTTCCAGCTGGGAAGGAGCGAGAAGGGCCTGGTCACTGAGCATGTGACCTGGAAGGGTCCCCTTCCTGCTTCACCCCTGTGCTCTCTGCTTCCTGGCAGCAGTGGACCGAACAGCTTTCCTCTGCCAGGCTCTTCCACTGTCCTCTCTCTGCCCTGGAACCGGCTGACCAGGGACTGAAAAACTCTGTTCCCTACCCACAGCACTTCCGACCACTTTCTCCCCCTTGTCCCTCGCTATCCCTGACTGTTTCTTTCCTTTCTTTACCACTGTTCCTGAAAGTGACTGGTGATTACAGCAAGCTTTAGTGTCATGAAGTTAAGGGAAAAGCCACTACAAATGTGGTATTTCAGAACATTTCTCACCAGATTTCTACTCCCTAATGGTCCTTCCTGAGACATTTTTGATTATGCTGTACTTGTATTTTTTTTCATTGGTGGACATCTATTTGCTCTCTGGATATTCAACCCCAATTACTATAAAAGGCTGGTCTTACAGCAAACACACCATCCAACTCTCTCACTGACCCATGGTCTTAGGCTAGTAGCGGCTCACTTTGTAGCTCAGGCTGGTCTCAAACTCGTGACAATCCTCCTGCCTCAGCCTCCCAAATGCTGGGATTACAGGTGTGTGTCACCATGCCTGGCAAGTTGTTTTCTTTAAGCATTAATGTAATGTGGACTTTTTCCTTTCCAAATCAGTGTCACTGCTGGGTGTGGTGGCACTTGCCTGTAGTCCCAGCACTCAGAGGCTGAGGCAGGAGGATTGTTGCCAAGTTTAAGAGCAGCCTAGGCTGCCAAGTGAGCTCAAAGCCAGCGAGACCGTCTCAAAAAAAAAAAAAAAAGAAAAAAAAATCAGTGTCACTGACAAAAAAGGCTACACAGTATTTCTAGATAATGAAATAGGAACAATATGACATCGTTCAATAAGGATATACCTTTCCCTGGAAGCTTCATCTGGGATACCCAGGCAAATTTCTCGGTCAAACCTTCCTGCACGTCTCAAAGCAGGGTCTAATGAGTCTGGTCGGTTTGTAGCTCCAATGACTAGGACTTGAGCAGTAGCAGCCACACTATTCAGATCTATAAGAACCAACCATAGATGAAAGTCAAACAAAACATCTAAGGGCAATGACATTTATACAAATCACTTAATACTTAAAAAGCATTGCATATTTTAACAGGTATGTTTTAAATATACATATAAAACACTAACACTTATATGTCTAACATGTAAAAAGTATGAGGAAGACAAAATACCAACTTTGTTCTCAGCAATTATAATCTCCTGAGAAATATTAAATATAGAGACGAGAACAAGGTACAAAACAAATGCTGTGAAGTACAGTGATAGGGACTATACAAGAAACATTGCCAAAAGACAAGGAAAGTGTCATGAACTGCAACAGAGGAGTAAGGGGGCAGTAACGTTTCAGAAAGCCTGAAAGGTGAGAACGATTTTGATAAGCAAAGACACAGGCTAGTAAATTCTACACAGCACGTGTAACACCATGGAGGCTGGAGCACGCGTGGCATGTCTGGGCAAGGTGCACAGCCAACACCGGGGTCTGGGGACACCAGCAGTATGTTTCAAAGGGTGCCAAATACTGAGACACGGGCACAGAAGTCTGAACTGCTTTGATTTCATCCTGAGATATGTTAGGAACGCACAGAGTGTAAGGCTTAAAATTTACCTCTCCTACATGTTATTTTTCTCAGTTGAACCAGGATTAAATAGCAGGGAAATTTATACTTACATACAGAAAATAAAATGCTAATTAAATTGTGAGGACTTAGCCAGGTACAGTGGTGCACGCCCAGTACATTAAGTGTGTAATCCCAGTACATGGGAGGCTGAGGCAGGACTGCTATGTGTTCAATGCTTGCCTGAGTCACATAGTGAGTTCAAACCCAGCCTAAACTACATAGCAATACCCTGTCTAAAAACAAAAATAAAATAAAATAACTCAAAAACAAAAATTAAAAAAAAAAAATGAAGATTTTATATATTACATCCTTTAGCAGAAAAGCCATGAAAAGCTCTTCTCAGAATAGCGCCCTCAGTAACACTGCAGCAAATAAAAGCAACAGAATAAGCAACTTGAAAATGGCAGAAAAAACATATTATGCACTACTTCAACCTTTCCTGTGTACACGAAAGGTACAAAGAAAAGCAGGTAAGAATTTCAAAGAAGGCAGAATCTAATTCCAAAATTTCTCAATCTTAGTCATTGTATTTCAAAAAATAAAAACAAGTTACAGACAGGGAGAAAATTAGTAAAATGTTAAAAATACTCCTTCGAGTCTGGTGGTGCTGCCATCACCAGGGGTAAGCAAGTATTCTGCCCCTCAGCTGCACACTCAACCCCCAGGCAGTTTCTAAAAGACCATTCAATACAGCAGTGGGCAAAGGGATAAAGAGATTTTGGAGATGATACAATCAACCAAAGAAATACAGAAGGAGGCATAACCAGAACGGTCATCGGGGAAGTGCAAATTAAAACTCAGTGAGACGCCGATTTTCACCAAACAGATCGGTACAGGTTAGAATTGGAGCACTCAGCACTGCCAAGAATCTGTAGAAAGGGAGACTCACACTGGTGGGGATGCAAACTGCACATTCCTCATGGGAGACAGCCTACCCTCTTCCATTAAAAACAAAAACAAAACTTCTTCTTTTTTGAGACTGTCTCACCATGTAACCAGGCTGGCCTTGAACTCACAACAATCCTCCTGCAGCAGCCTGCCCAAGCACGGGGATTACTGGCATGGGCCACCACATCCTGCTTCTCATAAAATTTAAAACAGGTAATTTTCAACTATCCATTCAATTTCTACTGTTTACTATAGAAAAATACATGTGCACCAGAAAGGCCCTTTTTAAGGAGAGTCCCCTGAAGCAAAAAAAAAAAAACTGAAAACAACTTAAATATTCATCAATGTGGGAATGCTTAAATACAATATGGTGTTTTTATCTTAAATGATACCATGTACCAGCTTTAAAAAGGTAAAAAAACGTGGAAATACTTCCAAAACATATTGTTAAGGGACAAGTAAGTTGAGAACAGTATATATGGTGCAATGGAAGAACTATAAAAAGTAAAACAATCTGTTAGTGCATGTGTATGTGAATGTATTAAAAATAGTGATAAGATACACTTTACAAATTAAATCAAGGGGTGCTGGGGATTTAGCTCAGTGGCACAGCACCTGCCTGGCAAGCGGAAGGTCGTGAGTTCGAGTCCCAGTACTGGAAAAAAAAACAAAAAAAAAACCCCACAAAAAACAAATTAAATTAGGGGTTTAGTCTTTTATAAAGATTTGTTTTATATTGTGATATTTACTCTGGTTTATACCTTCATCTATGACTTATACTGTTTTTAAAAATTCAGTATCTTTAAATGAATTCATTATTTTCAACTTACCATCCATACAGGACAAAAGCTGAGCTACGATTCTTCGTTCCATATCTTTTGAAGCAACTTCTCTTTTGGGGGTAATAGCATCAATTTCATCAATGAAAACAATGCATGGCGCACTTGACTAAAAATAAAAATATCACAAAAGACAGTCATATTTACATTCCATGTATGGAAGCAGTTAAATGTATGTTTTTTTTTTTTCAGCATTTTAAAGATCAAGTATCATTCACCAAAAAAATTACCCTTAGTGTGTTAGTTCTGATTTCTGTCTTAAAGGGGATCAAGAACTTTAACAGTAAAAGGATATTGGTAGGCAATGTTATACTTAGTCTTTTCATCTGACAATATTTTTTGATAAGCCTACTGAAATTCTTCTGTAAATTAGATATATTTGCTATCTTACAGAATATAAACAAATTTTAAAACTTTAAATTAAATCAGAAATCCCAAGTTCACTACAAATGTTATGAGTATTTTTACCAACATAAAAAAAGTCCATGCTTAAAAGAAAAAAAGCTAGGTGTGGTGGCATATGTCTGTAATCTTAGCATCTAGGAGGACTGCCATGAGTTCAAGGCCAGCCTGAACTACAGTTTTGTCTCAAAAAAAAAAAAAAAAAGAAAAAAAAAAAACCCAAAACCAAAAATAAATAAAAAGCCTGGTGTGGTAGTGCACAGCTGTTAATCCCAGCAGTTAGGAGGCCTGGTAAGAAGACTGCCGAGAGGTCAACGCCACTCCGGGCAACCTAGTGAGTTCAAGGCCTGCCTCAACTACAAGGAGACCCTATCACAAACTCACAAACTCCAAAGAGTTTGCTTTTCTTTTGAATCTGCTAGAGGAACTTAAAAAGTACCAGAAGTTCTTAAATTGTGGCAAGTATGTAAAATACCATTTTAACTATTTTAAGTGTTCAGGTCAGTGCCACTAAGTACACTCAGTGTTATATAATCACTGCCACCACCCACCTACAGAACTTTCATTCTAGCTTAAACCTCATCCATTTTCTGCCAAGAGCCACCTTTTCTGATCTGACCTCTCTGGAGTCCAGGAAGCGGCTGTTCCATGTTTTTACTAACTGCTGATGGATAAGCACTACACTAGCTCCGTACTGGTTTAGAGATGCAGACACAGAGCTCATGTCCTGAAAGTGCCATTGGTCTCTTTTGTCATCACTCAGCATTGTGTTTACCATAAATACAAAATTTACTGCCTGTCCCTGGCTATCTATGCCAGTCTAACAACTGAACTGGCACATTTTAGAAAATAAGAGGTACCTCAAAAGAGTCAGCTTTGCCTTGCACACTGCCTTTCCCTCTTTCTCTGCATCTTCCTTACTGTACCCACACTTTTTTGGTGTCAGCGCACACAACAAAGTCGATGGGCTCTCCACTCTTAGTATTTTAAAATATTCTCTCCCCTAAAATTTTTTTCTCACTTACTGCTAAAGTCACTGGTAAGACACAATTAATCTAATTTCACACTAGCCTCTAGGAGCTGTACCAGTCATGTCTGTCAGCTACTACATACTCTGGATACAAATAAAGACATGGAACTACAGTTTTTAGTACCCTTTAGTTTTAGCCACAGTGATAATTCCTATCCGTTTAAGTGTGTATAACATGATGGCTATTATTTGGGGTTTTTTGCTGTAAATACTCTCAATAGTACCATAAGATTTAGGAATATTATTGCCCATATTTAATAGTGAGGGAAGAGAGGGGCCAGAGTAGTTAAATACCTCGTCCAACATCAGAACGACAACCCAGGATCTGAACCCACCTCTCTCACACGAAGCACAGAGACCTAACCACACTGTGCTGCAGGTAAAACGTGCACCAGATGTAGCCAAAGGCCAAGAAATGACTGAAGGTAAAGCTTTAACTGTATGTGCACCTCATCTTTCAAATTTTAATAACAAAAAAGCCAAAAAAAGGAGCCAAATTTCAGTAACAGGAATTACAATTAGAATAAAGTCCACTCTTTAATTTCTCTCTTTGGTAAGGGAATTTTTTTATACAGCTTCAATTACACAAACAGAGAAGTGCTTATTCTGGCATTTTTATGGTTTCTTTTACAATGTAATAAGCCTAGGTATAACAATGTTCATGGTGCTTAGAAGTTGTTTGGTCAAACCTATATTGAAGAAAGTAAAAGTGAATGAAAATATCCTAAGAATGATATATACTCAAACTATAACTACTGGGTATGATAGCCCAGAACTTCGTACAAGTTATCTGTATGTCTGACTTCATATCAAACAGATTATTTATGCAAGAGTCTGTATCATTATATCTACTTTAAATATTTAGTTGTCATGTGTAGCCAATTACCATGTTGATAAAAGAATGGGCTAGCGAAAGAGATAACAAATACATACTGTATCAGAGAAAGCACAAAACATCTGACAACCTGACATTAGCCATTGGCTGACTTACCACAGCTTGCTCAAATAAGTCCCTGAGCTTCTGTTCAGACTCCCCAGAAACTCCCGACACAATCTCTGGAGCAGCCACTTTCAGAATCGGCAGGTCAAGTTCCTGCGCACAAACACGTAATAGCATGACCAAACATTCAAATGTTAACCTTCTTCCTAATTCTTTACCCAGCCCTCAACCAAAGTAACTTCTCCACTTTTTTGTTTGTTTATTTTCTGAGACAGGATCTCACTGAGTAGGTGCAGGCTGGTCTCAAACTCAGAGCGATCCTCTCACCTCGGCCTCTCCAGTGCTGGGACTGCATGAGTGCGCCACCACGCCCAGCTAAAATTACATTTTAAAAATGAGTGATTTCCACAGGAACTTCATCTTTGTGAGGTGGCACAGTGAAAAACACCATTTAAAAATCTAACAATTTATTTACACAAACATTAAGTAGAGAATTTGTTTTCACTTTATACGTCATTGTAAAGCTCTTAACAGACCTTTTAAGTTTCAAGAAATGTGATTCCCCTCACTTAGCACTGAGCTAAAACAACCATAGCTGTTACCTCATTACTGCACAGAAATGCCAAGGTTGTTTCCCACACACCCTGCCTGCATTTCTCCACCACTAAACACAGAGTAGCCAGTTACTATTCAAGGTAGGCTCTTTAAGGAAAAGAAGCCTGGCATGGATTAGGGCCAGAAATCTCCACACTTTGGGGGCCTGAGGCAAGGTCAAGCCTAGTCCAAGCAACATAACACATTCAAGATGGAGCTGTAATTTGCATGTCTTGCTGCTAGGTGATTTGATCATCACACCACCTTGAGCCACGCCAGTAGTACACGATGACTGTCCCATCAGGTGGCTTGTACCACTTCTCAGGGGCATTTGATTACAATAATGCAAAGACAGACACTGACTTAGCAGAGCACAAGTCATCATACAAAATGGTATGAAAAAATTGTAGTACAGCTAATCTATGGTACCGCAGTTGTCAGTGCATGTCTTCTACACCAGCAAAGAGGTACATGTAAGACTTCCGTATTAAAATTTAGAGAATTGGGCTGGGGATTTAGCTCAGCGGCACAGCACCTGCCTGGCAAGTGTGAGGTCATGAATTTGCTTCACAGTACCTGAAAAAAACCCAAAAAAACCACAAAAAAACACAAAAATAAATTTAGAGAATCACCGAGAAACTATTCATGAATATGAATGTCTTTTAATTTCATGATTTATTGATTATTATAATAATTTTTAATTGTCATGAATAGCATTAACTTATATTTGGGCAGTAATTTGTTAAATTCGAGAGACTAAGTAGATTCAATCCTTTATAGACTTTTAAATTTTATTAGTGAAAAGACTGATAGAGGTGATTAGATAAGTTTGTACCACCGGTGATACAAGCCTCCCGATGGGACAGTCATAAATGTACCATTAGCGGTTCAAGCCAGCAGGAATGTGTTAATGACTTAATGAGACCCTGTCTCAAAATAAAAGTAAATAAAAGGGAAAAAAAGAAAAGAGAAGCTAGAGGAATTCCATCAGTGCAAATGGCACCAAGCCATTCTGGCTACCATGAAATTTCATTTTCTTATCCACACCTTCAACCCCCAACTTGAACTTGGATGCCTCAAAACTCTACACAGCATTCTGTACTTGTTCCCCTTAAAAATGGTTTTCTTTCACATAGCAATTAGTCCGTTAATGATTACTGTAATATGCTACTCAATGAACTCAAGTTACTGGGATATTTGCATTTTACTACCCAATAGTTTCTAAAAAATCCAATAGGTCTAAAATAAATCACTAACCTTATTTTGTAAAGTATCTTGTATTACCATTTTAACACTAAAAATTATAAAAACATGACACCGTGGAATTTTGAATAAATTTAGTTGTACAGAAACAATACTAGGGTTTTTAAAATTGTGCTGCTCTTAAGAAATACTGGGTTAGCGGGGCGTGGTGGCACATGCCTGTAACCCCAGCACTTGGGAGGCTGAGGCAGGAGGATTGTCGCAAGTTGGAGATCAGTCTGGCTTACAAAGTGAGCTCAAGGCCAGCCTGAACTACATAGCGAGACCCTGTCTCAAAAAGACCAACAACAACAACAAAAAAAGAAATACTGGATTAAAGGAAAATAACTAAAACATAAAGGATGTGTTAAAAGAATTGCTTAAGGTGCTGGGGATTTAGCTCAGCGGCAAAAGCGCCTGCCTGGCAAGCGCAAGGTCGTGAGTTAGGTTCCCGGTACCGGAGAAAAACCAAAAACCAAAAAAAAAAAAAAAAAAAAAAAAAAGAATTGCTTAAAGCTGTATTATTTTGTTTCCCATTCAATCTGTCATGTATGCAGTAACTGACTTAAAAATCCCATAAAAAGAAGCACGAAACAAGTAAGTAAAGAACGGACCACTTCTCATTTACCAAGTTCTCTTCCTGAAAGGTATCAGGTGTGCCTGAAGGTGACCAAGAAAAAACACAAAACCTAGTAACAAGAAAAGCAGTGAAAGTGAAAACTTGTCCACCAGTCTCACCCCAGCAACTGCATGTGCCAGCAGAGTCTTGCCACAGCCAGGGGGCCCATGAAGGAGAACACCTCGAGGGGGCACGATGCCCAGGTGATGGTACACTTCGGGATGACGCATGTGTATGAGCATCTGACAGACTTCCTGGCAAGAAAAAAGCAAGGAGATATCTTCTTCAGCCCAAAATAGAAAGAACCAAGGTGGAATGTAATGTTTTATTCTTTACAGGAGGAAACAGTAGAAAGCCCAGGCTTGGGGCTTAGGCTTGATTCCTAGTTCCGATATCAACAATGTAACTTCCCATTTTCTAAGCTGTAAAAATGTCTATCTTATAGGTGTAGCACAAACTAGCATGCCAACCAGGTGAAATGGACACTAGAGAGCGGGAGAGACTGTAACTATCAGTACCGCTAAAACAAGATCACATGCCAGACCTAAGTCTCCCTTTCTGCACTAGTTCATAAAACAAGGGGTAGGCTTTGTTGGTGTAACTGATTAGCAAGATACCTACTCTAGGTAAAATTCTGAACTAACCTTTAAGGTCGTATCATTGCCTCCAACATCTTCAAACTTTACACTGGACATCTGCAATTCTAGTCCCCTGGCTTTAGCTGGCAAACACAAAGATGAACAGATTAGTGATTCAGTATAAACTCACAATTAAAAGACTACTAGATACACAAATATTTTCCAGTAATCTGCACACACAAAAGGTCCCTCAAGCAACTCAGAACACAGGGAAGCCTCTCTCAAACACAACCACTGCTACCGCACCTCACCTTTCTTTTGCAGGACAGCTTCTATTTCTCCATCTACTTCCTGAAGATCTTTCTTCCGTTTGCTCCCTTTGCCCTTCATCTTGCCTTTCTTTTTTCTATCACTCTCCAGAAGAGAGAAATCTTTTAAGTCCTGGGAAGAAAATAAATTTAAATAAGCCACACTTAAAACTATAACACCTATACCATGTAAGTTTTTGTTTTTTTGTTTTTTTTTTTTTTTTGGATTTTCTCCGGTACCGGGAACCGAACTCACGACCTTGCGCTTGCCAGGCAGGCGCTTTTGCCGCTGAGCTAAATCCCCAGCCCCCCATGTAAGTTTTTAAAAGATGAACATTATATATAACACTGCATTCTGGGCTGGGGATTTAGCTCAGCGGCACAGCGCCTGCCTGGCAAATGCGAGGTTGTGAGTTTGATTCCCGGTACTGGAAAAAACAAAAAACAAAACAAAAAAAAGAACACTGCATTCTGCTGTAGCACCTTTGCCTGTTACCTACTCCCAACCTCTTTGCTCCAGGATGCTGTCTGCTGGGGAGGTCCTTTCCCATAACCTTAAAGTTCAGTTTAAAGCCTAACATTTGAAGGCTTTCTTTCTTTCTTCCAGTTGACTTAATCTTCTCCCTACATACCCCAACCACTGCATCTGCAGCTATGTTATAGATAACTGGACACTGTTCTGCATTTGGATGATGCTTGTCTTTCCTGAACCATGAGCTCCTCCACTCAGGACACCAGTAACACCTTTCACTTCTCACTGAGATGTCTCACAGTTGATGTTTCACATAGATGATTTTTACCTGACGATTCACAAAATTAAATACAACTACAAAGATGCTTTGAGAGTGGAGAGAAAGTATAGATCAACATAGAAGTCAACTTTTTAACAACCATAACGTTCTTCCTGGGGGGTGATTAAAGCAAAGGTATTCAGAAAAGACTCAGAGCGAGGGGATTCCAAGGCCCCTCTCACTCTGTGTGCTTTGATCAGTTAAGGAAGGCACCGAACATATTCACTCTGTGATAATTCAAAATTTATACTTTTCCTTAAGTATGGCAAATCTCAATCTTAAAAGTCTTTTTCAACTAAAGGTATCTGCCTATTCTACACATTATCATAATATACTTGTTTATGTGAGAGTTCTTAACCCATTATCTTGAACAGAGCAAAAATAAAGATGACACTGCTGTTTTAGCAGCAATCTTTCCTTCTACCTAAAGCTAACAACTCTAATTATACCCAAAACAATTATTTTAAAATTCTTACTAGTAAGTTTGTGTCAGGAAGGCCATTAGGTACCACTAATTCAACACACTGACTGTTAGGAGGTAGACATTTCAGCCAGGGACACATTAACACTCAGTCCTTGCTCTCCTGGGTCTTACAGTCTAGTGTAGGGACACAAAGAGTGACTTTAAAAAAAATTACACAGGTAAGAAAGAGTGACCGTTAAGTGCTTAAAAAAAAGTTGGGTAACATGGAACACCTAGTTGAGCCTGGTGGTACACACCTATAATCCTAACTCTCTGGGAGGGTCATAAATTCAAGGCCAGGCTGGGCAGCTTAGTGAGATTCCTGTCTCTAACTTAAAAATTCACACATTTAAGTGAAATGAATCAGACACGTTTATTTTTTTTTTGTTTTTTCTCCAGTACCGGGAACCGAACTCATGACCTTGCACTTGCCAGGCAGGCGCTTTGCCGCTGAGCTAAATCCCCAGCCCCAGACACGTTTAAATACAGCATTATTTCTCTTGTGTGAGAAAGCAAAACCCTAAATAAGGACCACTGGGGAGAAGGAAGAAAATGTTCAACTGAGAAAGAAGACAAGGGAGAGGGGAGAGGGAAAACAGAAAAAAAAGAATAGAAGAAAAAAATGAAACAAAGCTTGTATAAACAAGGAGGGAAAGAAGGGTTGAAGGGAGGGGAGGGGAATGGGAAAAATCAAGATATATTAAGTACAGGTACAAATTCCTACAATGAATATAATCATATCTATCAAAAGTATACCAATAAAATTAATTTTAAAAAATAAAATTAAAGGCTATTGAAAAAAAGGGGCAGGTTGTGTAGCTCAGTGTGAAGGACCGGGGTTCAACCCCAGGTACCACAGAAAAGAGAGAAAGAAACAGATTAACACCGTGTGCTATTTTCTGTGTCATGAAAGGCAAAGACGGCCGCAGGAGTCCGCAGAAACTGTCCTAAACAGAAAGCCAAGAACATCCCAAATGGGTGAGGCTGGTGTCCTAAAAACATCAAGAGGCCACTGTGGACAAAGCAAAGGAAGGAGGTGAAGACAGGGGCAGTGGATAAGATCGAGGCCGTAGGTCCCACCCTCAGCACACACACATACACAAAGGACACAGATCCAACTGGAAGTCTATTTCAACAGCTAAGAAAGGCTTCAACTAGGCTAGCAATGACAGCAGCAGTACGAAGTGACTGAGGTCCTACGACTTTTGTGAAACACAAGTTTCTATCTGACATTGCATTTAAGGAAAAGACTATGATGTACTCCACCTATTTGGTGCCACAATTTACTACGAACATATCTGTACCTCAGATACAGGCTTATGGTTACTGTTCTCATCAGATGGCGCCATGAAAAAACTTTCTTTCTTTCCTGGGGTTTTGTCAATAAACCATCCTCCCTCTGTTCCTCTGGCAGGGGTCTTCAAAGGAATGGAGCCTGTTTTACAACTCAGCTGTGGTGCTGAAGCAGTAGTTTCTCTTTGCTGCATCTCCGGAGTATTTGAAACACAATCAGGATTTCCTTTCCGATATAAAGACAGCAGTGAACTGTTCATGTGGTTTGCTGACTGGCAGAAACATGATTTTAGAATAAATTACTCAACAGACATTCAAGAAAGGTTCCATTTCCTATACTAATCAGTTTTCTAAACTTTGTTTTCAATAAACTCCTTTTGTAATATTTACAGTCAGAATGTATAGGCATTTGCTGGGGATATAGCTCAGAGGCATAAGTGCCTGCCTGGCAAGCTCAAGGTCCTGAGTTCGATTCCCGGTACAAAAAAAAAAAAAACAAAAAACAAATGTATAGGCACTCAGAGTAAGATGGTTTGCAACTAAGCGTTTCTGATTCAAAAAGATGTCTCCCTACCACCACTCCAAGTTAATGGAGGGCCAATTAATAATTGATTACTAAATAAAATCGAAAGTACGGTTGCTTTTTAAACATATGGAAATGGACTGCTAGTGAGAATCACTACTATTCCATCAACTCAGAACTGGATCAAATACAACTCAGTATCATTCCCTTATTATCAATTAAAAAACTGACTTACAAAAAACCCCCACAAAAAAATCAAGTTATAAATTATTGCCATACCTGTTTATAGTTAAATTTATTCATCAATAATGCCAGCTCTTTTACAGAAAATATATTCTCTTCTCCATTTTTACTATTAATTCCCTTTCTATTTGTGTCTGCCTTATTTCTATTTTATTCCTTCTTTTCCTACATACACCTGACTATAAACACAAATACTAGAAGGATGATTAGTCCATCAACATTATACTTAAGTGTTCAAATATTTACTGATAAACACATGCAATGTCTCTTACTGTGCGTTAATCGTTTTTTTCCCCAAGAGGGGAACATACTGACTTTTTTAGATAATCAAAGTGGGCCCAGTACACATCTGGCTTACCTGTGGATCTATGTAATCTTCTTCATTTGAATCACCATCAGAAGAGCTTTCAGTACACCTCAGTAAAAAGAGGAGAAAATGATTTAAAGGCTTTTCTTCTGCAAAAAATTACTGCCTAAAACAAGTAAGCATACTACAGCAACTACTATGGTGGTTAAAAGTCCAACCTTTGGAAGCAAAGAAACTTGCATTCAAAAGATCTACCTTACCTGGGTGGGGTGCTACGTGGCTGTAATCACAGCACATGGGATGCTGAGGCAGGAGGATCACCCTGAGTGTGAGGCCAGCTTGGGCTACATAGTGAGTTCAAGGCCAGCCTGAACTACACAGTGAGGCTCTGTCTCAAAAGACCCCTGCCCAACAAAACCCCTGAACATCTAATAACTACAAACTGATAATATTACATATTTGATCAATATAAATGACAAATCTGCTGAGTGTGGGGGCACATGCCTCTAATCCTAGCACTTGGGAGGCTGAGGCAGGAGGCTCACCCTGAATTTGAGGCCAGCCTGAGGTACATAAGTGAGCTGAAGGTCAGCCTTCACTACACAGTGAGTCCTTGTCTCAAAAACAAAAACAAAAAATCAGCGGCCGGGGATGTAGCTCAGTGGCATAGCACCTGCCTGGCAAGTACAAGGTCATGAGTTCAATTCCCAGTACAAATAAATAAATAAGGTAAATTATCAACTATGGGAGAGCTGCTCTAAAATTTACGTCCCTACCAAAAGATCAACTACCAGTAGACTAGAGTTAAATACCATGAAGGAGCAAAAGAGTACAGTAATAGCATTTTACATACTTCTGTGAAACAGACTATTCTAAGCATATGAACTTAAACCATAAAGAAAAAGATTAATAATTAAAAATGCAAAACTTCTCTAATTAAAAAACATTGTAGCCAAAATAAAAGGCAAAGGGCGAAGTGGGAAAAGCATTTGCAATGCATATAAAAGAGATGTGGTGGAGTACACTATAATCCTAGGCCTCTGGGAGGCTGAGGCAGTCTAGCAATTTAGCCACTTTGCCTCAAAATAAAAAAGGATAATGATATAGTTCAGTAAGAAGGCCCTGGGTTTAATCCCTAGTACCACAGTGGGGAAGTAAGGGGCCAGGAGAAAGGATGTTATTTTATGCTAAGAGTTCTGACACTAATTCAAGTATTTCTCAAATAAAACAACAACAAAAAAAAACCTGTAAGCAATTTACCAAAACACCCCAAGAAAAAACCAAAAACCACCACCACCACAACAAACTGAAAAGATTCTGACCTCACTACTTATCAACAAATTTCAAATAAGAGTGTATAATCTCAGTACTTGGAAGGCTAGAGCAGGAAAACTACTATGAGTTTGAGGCCAGCTTGGGCTACATAGTAAATTCAACACAGCTTGAACTACATAATGAGATCCTATCTAAAAAAGCCAAAAAAAAAAAAAAATTAAATAAAAACAGCATGACTTCCTATAAACAGGTTCAGCAACCCTTATCTGAAAATCCAAAACACAAAATGCTCCAACCAAAATGTGAAACTTTTTGAGAACCAACATGCCACCAAAACTAGAGTATGTCATACCAGACCCATGATAGGCTATGGTGAAAAAGCGAATGTACTAAAAATACTGTATAAAATTACCTTCAGTCTATGTACATACAGTACATAAGAACTATTAGTGGATTTTTTGCTTAGAGTTGGGTCACAACCCCTAGATATTTTACTATGCATACGTAAATACTCCAAAACCTGAAAAATGTGAAATCCAAAACAGTTCTAGTCCCCAGCATTTTTGATATGGGATACTCAACCTCCAACAGTACGAATAAATGCAGAGAAGTATGCCTTTATACAAAGTTGTTAAGAGTGTAGAGTAAGGCAATGTTTTTGTACAATGCTTCCAAATGTCTAGCAATTTCAAAAACACAATTTTCTGGAATCTCTGATTCCAGAAATTCCACTTCAGGAATTTAACATAAAAACACAATGTGATGTATACAAAGATATACATATGTATGCACTAACAGATTAGTAATCACATAATAGTGTAAATAGAAATAACCAAACATTCACAAATACGAAGCTGGCGATGGAAATCATGAAAAATAACAAATGAAAAAGTTTCAGCTATAAACAGCAAAAAGGGGCTATCACCACATATCCCACAGATATTAGAATAACAAGAGGATACTGCAAAAGACTTGCACCAACGAATTCCACACCTTAGATGAAATGGGCAAATTTACTGCCCTTCCTTTGTGGGGAGAGACAGAGCCTCACTATGTAGCCCAAGTTATTCCTCACCTCAGGATCCCCACACCTCACTCCCAAATGCTGGGATTACAGGCATGTGCCACTGAGCCCAAGGGACAAATTTCTTTAAAAACACAATTCACCAAAAGTGACATTAAGAAAAAAATACATTAAAGAGGAGTCACATACAGCAAAATTAAGTTATCAAAAGCCAGGCATGGTGGTGCATGCCCGTAATCCCCGCACTTGGGAGGTGGACCGCTGTGAGTTTGAGGCCAGCCTGGGCTCCATAATGAGTTCAAGGCTAGCCAGAACTACATCTCAATAAATAAATAAAATTGGGCGAGTATTTCACTTTTGAATATTCCCCACTTGGCCAGAGTAGCTGTCTTTCCCCACTACTTCCCCCTTCAAATAAATCTTTCATTTCCAAAAAAAATTTGCAAAAAAAATTTTGGAAAAATTAAAATATCATTCATACGAAGACCTAGATATAAATGGTTTTAGCCTATTTTTTGTAATAATCAAGGACTAGAAACAATGCAACAGTCCCAACACACAAACGAATTAAAATTTTGGCATATCCATTAAATACCAATAAAAATCAATAAGCTATTAAGACATGTAACAACCTGGTAGATTTCAAATCATGCCAGAGGAAAGATCCTAATTTTAAAAATATATACTGTATAGCCAGCTGGGATGGTGCACGCCTGTAATCCCAGCACTTGGGAGGCTGAGGATAGTTGCAAGTTCGAGGCCAGCCTGGGCTACAAAGTGAGCTCAAGGCCAGCCTGAACTGCATAGCGAGACTTTGTCTCAAAAAGATTAAAAAGAAAAGTAAAAAAAGAAAAAAAGATATATATAATATATATGTATCATATATATGTAAAATGTACAGTTCCATTTATACAAAATTTTAGAAAATACAATCTAACCTACAGAAACAGAAAATAAATCAAATCAATAGGTGTTTAGAAATGGGGACTGAGGGGAACAAGAAATCTTTGAGGGGGCTGACAAAAATGTTCAGCATCTTGTGATAATGGTTTAATGAGCACATACATATACATTAAAAGCCATCAATCTGTTTACTTTTAAAATGTATAGCTTATTCTACATCAATTACATCTGAATAAAATTATTTGAAAATCTGTGACATTATTTCTTAAACAAAATTGATACCTTTTAATATATCTGCCATTATATCAAGGCAGAAAAAAGATAACAAAATAACTCTATCAGCAATACAGACAGCAAAAAATTTTCACGTCATGTGATATGGTAAGAATTATAAGAAAAAAAAAAAAACTTTTTTTGAGACACGGTCTTTGTGGGTAGTTCAGACTGGTCTTGAACTCACCATGTAATCCTCCTGCCTTAGCCTCTCAAGGGTTGGTATTGTAGGAATGTACCATCTGGCAAGAAATATTTCTAATAAGCTAAGGAAACACTAAATTGTGTGTCTAAAATATTCTAAGAAAGGCAATAACATCTCAATTCACTCTGGAAGGTTAAGTGTGACATTTGTAAAAAAAGAAATGAATACTTAAGTTACATAAAGTCACAGTGAAAGATGCTGTGTACTGTCTTTAGGGAATACTGAGTATTCAATATGGTTAGAAGAAAGGACATGGAGAGGGAGGTTAGCAGTACTATCCAAGGCTTTGTTCACGAGAGTCACTGAAAGTTTATAAGTGTGAATGGAAAAATATTGGTGGAGACCACTGTACTAAAATTTGTGGGTTTTTTTTCAGTATGGACTATAGTTGAATAAGGAGGAATGTTTTTAGAAAAAGGAATGCTTCTGGGGGAAAAACATCTCCGTTTTATATAACTTACTCATCATCCTCTTCGCCTTGTCTCGCTCTTTTTGTCAGATGTTCACCTTCTAATTCTGTTAGATGTTTCAACTCCTTCTCACTACTAATTATGTTAAATACTAAAAAAAACAAACAAACACGCCATGAGCTCAAAGTTTTTTTCTGTAATTACGGAAAATCTGCTCTAACACCAAAATACTCACCTTTTTCTACCTGAATCCTGAAAGCATTCCTTTTTCTTCGACCATAGTCCATACTGAGAAAAAAAAAAATTTAGTACAGTCATCTCCACCAACATTTTTCCATTGAGCCTATTCTCAAGAGATGACAAAGTTGCATACATATGTAATTATGTCACTGTTCACTGACCATGAACCTTTTTCCAGACAACTTCTGAGTTTGTATTTCTACTTGTTTTCTAAAATTTTACTAGCTCTTTTTCTTTGAATGTTTTTATTTTGAAATTTCAAGCCTATTAAAATTCTGAAAGAATGTAATGAATACCCATATACTTTTAGCATATATTCTCAGATTATTAACATTCTGGCACACTCCCTTTGTCTTTCTATAGAGACCATTTTTTGGCCGAGTCATCGGAATATTAGAGATACATACTTCACCACAAAAAAAAACATGTTTCTCTGCACAAAAAAAGTACTTACATAACCACAGTATATTTAGCACAAGCGAAAAATTTAAGATTGATAAAATCTAACACGGAGTCCAATCTGTCACCAGGTCTGATGTTGTACGACTGTAATCTCGGCGCTCTGGAGGCTGAGGCAGGAGGACTGCTGGGAGTTTGAGGCCAGCCTGAACTACATAGTGAGACCTTGTCTCAAAAAACAAACAAACAAACAAAAACAAAAACCAAATCCCCACAACTTTTTGGCCAGAACTGCAATCTTCTAGTAATCTGCCAAAATGACGAACACAAAAGGAAAAAGGAGGGCAACTTGGTATACATTCTCTAGGCCTTTTAGAAAACATGGAGCTGTTCCTTTAACCACATACATGCGAATCTATAAAATGGGTGATATTGTAGACATCGAGGGAATGGGTACTGTGCAAAAAGCAATGCCACACAAATGCTACCATGGCAAAACTGGAAGAGTCTACAGTGTTACCCAGCAAGCTGTCGGCATTGTTGTAATTAAGTAAGTTAAGGGCAAGATACTTGCCAAGAGGATTAATGTTGGCATTGAGCATATTAAACACTCAAAAGAGTGTAGACAGCTTCCTGAAACGTGTCAGGGAAAATGGTCAGAAAAAGGAAGCCAAAGAGAAAAGGACCCCGCATTCAACTGAAACACCAGCCTGCCCCACCCAGAGAAGTGCACTTTGTGAGACCCAATGGGAAAGAGCCTGAGTTGCTGGAACCTGTTCCCTATGAACTCATGGCACAGGTTGGGGATGGAGCTCTGCCACTCAGCAGCTAATTGGCGGCTAAGTGTTCTGCACTTTATTTAAAAAGTAAAAAATCATCTTGTGCTGGAAGGACGGTTTTCTTAATTAAAATGTGTGTGGTGCCTTTACCTCAGAAACAAATATTTGGAGCAGATTTTCATTCTACCTAGGTAATTGTGTCAGGTCTTCACTCTTCAGTGTTTCTCTTGCTGAAAGATATTGCTGAGGTACTGTGCAGGTGTATAACCAAATGGCCAAATATTTACGAAGTATTTATATTGGCTCAAAGATCCTGTAAATCACCATGGGAAAAAGATGTATCAAAATAAATGGAAGTCACTTTAGTTAAATAAATGGAAGTCCATTTCAGTTACATAAATTGTTTAAAGCACCAAAAAAAAAAAAAAAAAAAATCCCTACAATCTGTGAAATTGTTCACTCAAAATACTGCATTTTTAAATATTAACATAGGGTCTGGTAAAGGTTCATGCATTCAGTTGGTTGTCATAAAGTCTCCTGTCATAAAGTCTCCTTTACTTTATAATAATCCTTCTACCTGTTCCGTGATACATTTCTAAAGGGTTCAGCCCGCTAGGGCATAAAAACATTCCCTAAATCCATATTTATCTTATCTTTTCTTGTTATTTAATTAAAGTTAAAGGTGTTCAAAAAGTGGCCATGCCCCCAGTGAAAAGGACAGCATACCACACACAACCATTCTTGTAAATGCCTGTGTAACAGAACTGAGTTCCAGGCTTATGGAAGGAGGCCAAGGCCAGCAGCCGTTGATATCAGGGTGAAATTTATGCAGCAATGAAACTTTTTAATGGTCGGAGCGGGGCGGAGCACTGATCTGGAAACTACATTCCTTTACCTGTACATTCTTTGCAAATCAGATGCTAAGACTCCAGTGTCCACATATCTGCCACATCTATTACTGGTGAGGTACTAAAACGAAAATAGGATAAACATAAAACACTGAATGTTTCAAACCTGGCGATTTTCGTCAAGAGGCAAAAAGCTACTCAAACACATTACACTTTAACGCAAATTCTTCACTAACAAAGTACACCAAGAGCATCGATGAAACCCACCAAACAATTGTCAAGTGGTCCAGGAATCAGAATTTAATTAACCCTGTTCGTCACCATGACCATAGTAACAACAACTGGAACACCTCCCGGGGGGGTCCACGCTCCCAACCCCAGCCAGCAGGCGGCACACAGTGACAGCTGACGTCCATCCGACACTGCAGGACTTCAGGCATTGCAGCTTCAACATTAAACTGCTTTTTTAACGAGGCTACATCTTTGCAAAACTTGATTTTTGTTGTTGTTTTGTTTTGAGACAGGGTCTCGCTATGCAGCTCAGGCTGGCTTTGTAGTCCAGGCTGGCCTCAAACTTGCAACGATCCTCCTGCCTCAGCCTCCCTAGGGCTGGGATTACAGGCATGCGCCACCACGCCCGGCAAAACTTAATTTTTTAAGGGTGCTGTGATAAAAAGCAAACATCCCGCAAATACCAGCGCCGAAAAGGCACTGATCCGATTCCAGATCTGAGTCCTGGGCGGGGCCCACTACCTGGCAACTGGGCTTCCTTAAGGAGAGCCCCTCACGCTGGCTTTCTGCGACTTTTGCACTCTTCAAGCGGATGGCGAGCGACCCGGCCCCCTCAGTTGCTGGGCCCTTTCTGCTTCCTAAAGGGATCCACTGGGTCCTTACTGCTTCTCGCCTCGGGCACCACAAAATAAACGACTGGAAACGGGAGGCCACGAACCGGGGCCCCGTCGCGGTGGAGGTCGCCCGCGCCGCTCACCTGCACCACGCGCTGCTTCAGCCTGCGGTCCACCAGCGTCGCGAGCCGTGGCCGCATGGCCCCCGGGACCCGCCTCCTCACGCCGTCCACCGCCGTCCACGAGACGGGAGTCCTCTTTCGCGGGCTTTTCCCGCAGTACACGACCGGAAGTAGCCTTAAAGCGCTCTTCCCGCTACCGTAAGCAGCTTCCGAGTCGCCTGTCGCCCACCGGAAGTGATCTCGGGATACTCCATCCGGGCTACCGGAAGTAGAGCAGTCTCTGTCGGTTCCGCCTCCTCGACCACCGGAAGTAGCCTGGGCCGTCCGTCAAGATCTCCCTTCCGAACGGGTCGGTCCGCCTCCGCTATCCGTGGCGGTCCTCCTTGGAACGGAAGTGCGGCGAATGAGAAAGCAAACTGCAGCGGAAGGGGAGGGCGTGGGGACACGGGGCGTTTCTCGCCCTCTCTTTGCGGCCCCGCCGACAGGCGCTGGTGGCGCCGTCGCTTTGAATGCACGTAACTTTATTGCTGCGCGCTGGGCGCACACGGACACGGCACGTTCTTGCGGTCATACCGGAGTGGATGCCGTCCTGAACCAGCTGTTCTGCTGGTTCTTTCTTAGTCACCGCAGCGTGGGCTGGTGTGCCAAGAAAAGGAAGGAGAGGGTTACCCGGAGGACTAGGCCATTTCTCTGCTTTTAGACCTCAATTGATCTTACGCTGTGAGCAACAGATCATTTTGTTTTGCCTTTTTTTTTTTTTGCGGGGGAAGGTGTTGAAACAGGAGCTCGCTATATAGTTCAGGCTGGCCTTGAATTGATGGCGATCCTCCTGCCTCAGCCTTCCCAATACTAGGATTACAGGCATGCGCCGTCACGCCTGGCAGTAGTTTTACGAACCTGTAAGCTTACTGGGCTGGGTAATATAAATGGGCTGGTTTCCTGTGGTGAATGCTACTGATTGAGCCTGAGTTCTGTACTTACATGTGGTCTGCTGTTGTCATTTATATAGTTTGTCTTTCAAAACGGTTCCCATTTGGACAATGAGTTAGAAAGACTCGCCGTGGGTAACAGGAGTATGGAGCGAAAGATGAGTGTGCATGTCAGAGGTTCTTTATTAAGGTTTGAAAGCAAAGTGACCTGTTTGTGGAAAAGATAAAAGACCGAGTTTTCTAAGGTTGAAAAAATGTTGATTTATTCTACTTGATAAGAGCTAACAACTCGTTTTGTAACCCAGTGTAAAAGGACTGCACCCCACAACCCTACCCTGAATAGAATGAAAAATCACACTTTGGGCTTAATATTTGATCTTTCATTCTGCAAATAGAGGACTTAGTAGTGATCCGAACATGCAGCCTGGGAGTTTGTGTTCTTGTTCGAGGCAGAGGAGGTGGACTGCTGAGACAAGAAGTACTTAGTTATGGGAAGGAGAAGGGAGGACTTCACAGCCCGTGGAGCATCGTTATGTAGAAAACTTTCAGTAGATAACTAACTGTTAAGGAAATGAATAAAAAGTATGAAGTAAATAATCAAGAGTACTATGATGAAAAATCCATTTAAAGGGTATAGTTCAATTATTTTGTTTTTAAAATTAACTACAGCATAGTACTTAATATTGAACTCAGGGCCCTTACACTAACACACATCTCCAGCCATTGTTTTTATATTTTACTTTGAGACTATGCCTAAATCATAAATTAATCAGTATTTGGGTGGTTTCCACTTTTTTTTGAAACAATGTATCACTGTATAGCCCAGGAGGACCTCAAATTTGCTCCTCCCTCAGCTTCTGAGTGTTGGGACTACAGGCATGCATCGCCATGCCCAGCTCGGTTTCCACCTTTTCTAGCTTATGAATAATGCTGGTATGAACATGTGTATATGAGTTGTCTTATGGAGATGTGTTTTCCATTCTCAGGGATATAGCTAGTTCAACTGAGGGGTCATATGGTAATTCGATGCTTAATCTCCCTCCCTCCCTCCCTTCTTCCTCTTTTCTTTGTGAGACATGGTCTTGCTATGCAGTCAGGATGGCCTTTAATTTATAATCCTCCTCAGCCCCCGAATGGTGGGATCACTATGCCTAGCAACATCAACCTTTTGAGGAACCACCAGACTGTTTTCCGCACCAGCTATATCATTTTACACTTCCAGAATTGTCCTCTCCAACAGTTAAGTTCTTTGTTGTATAATTACAGCCATCAGAGTGGGAGTGAAGTGAAAATCATTTGAATTGCATGTTTCAAAAGTTAATTTCTTTTTCCTCTCCCTTAGTTCTTTCTTTTCTTTCCTTTCTTTTCCTTTTCCCTTCTTTCTTTCCTTCTATACTGGGGCTTTCCACTGAGCTACATTTACAGCCCTTTTAAAAATTTTTTATTTTGAGACAGCATCTCACTAGGTCACTAAATTGCCTGGGCTGGGGTTGAATTTGTAAACTTTCTGAGTGCTGGGATTACAGGCATGCGCCATCATGCCCTGCTGATTTACTGGTGTTTTGTTTGAGACAGCGTCTCACTACATTTTCTGGCTAGCCTCAAACTTGTGGCAATCCTCCTGCCTCAAACCTCCCAAGCGCTGGGTTTACAGGGGTGGGTCACCACACAGCGCCAGTAATTGGCTGTTTATCTTGACCATTTTCTTCTCCCTAATTTCATATCCCAACAGTTTTGACAATGCAACCATGGTTAGAGTTTTTACACAGACTAAGAGATAAAGGCAAAAATGGAAATTTAATAATCATTATTATGATGCTAGCTTTTAAATTTTCTCAGGAAAAAACTGCAAAGAATGTAGGATAATCACTTATTTCATGTTCGATTTCAGACAGAATGTGAGATGAAGCTTGTGTTTTTAATAAAACTTAAATTAATTTTAATAAAATCTCTCCTGATTGAGTGATTCATTCAGCAACCATTTACTAAGCACCTGCTATTGACAGGATACAAAGTACAATAGATATAAAAAAAAGCACTTAATGAGATTAGTGTTCAGATAGTTGTGTGGGCAAGGTACAACACGCAGCGATAGCACGTGTAATAATTTGTAGCTTGAACTGCTATGTTTACCCTATTAACCCTTAATGAAAGAACTTGTGCTGTGTCAGGCAAACGCAGTTGGATTTGCACAGTAACTTCCCAGTCTATCCTATTCTTCGCCAAGTAAACTCCATCCAGGCTGACAAACCTGCCCCCTTTCATACATTCAGTTCACCACACAGCCAGGCAATGTTTTACGTGTAAATCAGATCAAGCTACTGTACTGCTCGACACTCCCGTGATTTCTCACTCGAGAATAAACTCTGCCAGAGGTTTGCAAGGGCCCTGTGACCTCGCTCCGCCTGTACCTGACTTCTCAATTCTCTCACGCCCTTACTCTCTGCTTCAACCACACTAGAACACGCCCCCATCTCCATTTCCGACGGGGTCACACCGAGCTTCTGCGGTCGCTGTGCCTTGGGCCATACCGCCTGCACACCTTTTCACAGATCTTCAGATTTCCGCCTGCGCGTCAGTTCCTCTGCCTGGCCGTCTCACCCAGCCTCCAGGGTTCCCAGTCCCCTTCAAAGTACTCACAACGGCCAGTCACTCCTCAGTTTATTTTCCTGTCTCTTCCCCAACCCAGTGCACGCTGCAAGCCTGCAGGGACTTCCCGGGCGCCTCTCACGTTGGATCCAGGCACTGGCTGCACGCCTGAGCAGGGGAGCCAGACGTCCCCACCTCGCAGGGCCCTTACCCCTCTGCAGCCATCCCGCCTCCTAGGTAGCTGCTACTTCAGGGTCCTTTCCTCCCCGAGCACCACAGCAGCGTCCCGTTCGTCTGCCTGGTTCACTTTTGTATCTGCTGGGTGCAGCGAATTCTGAGCGTGCACTGGGGTGTTGTACAGAACTCTTAATGAGTGAATCGATGGGCAGAGTAATGGTTATAGTTTTTCAAGACTTTACTACCCGGAGTGGACCGTGGGACCCTCGGAGGAACTGGGGGCAGGGAGATCTCCACCGCTGAGCTTCAGGGGGTAAACCGTTTACTTTTTCTACCTTGCAAGTGCAAGTGGGTTAGAGCAGCAATTAGCGACAGCTTCTCCTCCCAGAGCGGATGCGCTTCGCGTAGCTACTGCAGCGTACCGGAAACCGGAAGCGTGGACAAAACAGCGCGATGCCCCGCCGTGCACCCGCGCGACCTTGCCTCCTACCCGCCCCTCCGAGGGCACGCCCCTAGGACCTCACTTCCTCCCAGTAGCTCCTCTCCTTAAAGGGTCTGCCGCCGTCGTAGCGTCTTCTGAGACGGTTCAAGACAGGACTTTGGGAGCATCTAACGTCCAAACCGACGCACATGGTGAAAGGCTCCTCCCGGGTAGCAAGCCGGTCACAGCATTCAGTAAATACGTATTTCTGGAGTGCAGACAACGTAGAGTCCCCGCCCATCTCTGAAAGCGCTCGGGCCGGCGGACTACATTTCCCAGCGCCCAGCCGCGACGCTTGCACGAACTACAACTCCCGGCGTGCCGCTGGGCGCGGACGCACGCCGCGCGCGACGCGGGCCTGGGAGGCGGGCAGGCCTTTGGGGCTGACGGGCGGGCCCGGCGTGTTCGGCGGAGGATGGAGGCGGTGGTGTTCATCTTCTCCCTGCTGGACTGCTGCGCGCTAATCTTCCTCTCCGTGTACTTCGTATCCTTACCCGAGGCGGGCGGCGGCCGGCGGGGCCCGCCCGA